GAAAACCAAGTCCGTTACAGACCAGATGTTCCTTTAGCACCACAGAGCAGGGTTGGATCTAACAGACACCCTTTGTTTTGGGGGGATGCCTAAAGAGAACTGCAGCACTATGCAAGGTATCTAATTTTCAGACTGGATGAAATATTAGGAATATCATACCATAACCTAGTCCCTGTCCTCCACCATTGCCTCATTAAGGAAGGGACCAGTTCTACCAGCTACCAGGTGAGAAGATGACCCCTAACCATGAAACTTTCCAAAACATGTTAAAAGGACAGCAGAATACCACACAGGAGAAGTTAGCTTCAATTACTGAGGCTCTGGGTTGCAGGCAGAGCACCCCCCACCCCCCTTTTGTTTTGGACTCTCTCATAGCTGCACCTGACTGTTAAAAACCTAAAGTTCTGATGGCAGGACATGAAGGCTAAAACAGGAGCGTCTTCATGCCTACGCAGAGGTTGTACTAGACCAGTGGTTCTCAACCTTTTCAGACTCAAGGCACTCCTCAGAAAAATGTACGCTCTTAGTTCTCTCTTGTTTTTAACTACAGAGAAGAACTGAGAAAGACCAGGAGAGGTCAGACTGCTTTTAAGACTATGGACTTCCCATCTGAAATCCTTGGATTTTTCTTGCGAACCGTGTGCACACTTAACAATACTGATAGTGCATGGCATCTCCCAGCACCCTTGGGAAAATAATTAAAGAAATAAAATCACAGAAATCATAGGAAGTGAGGGTGGGAAGGGATGTCAGGAGGTCACATCTAGTCCAGCCCCCTGCTCCAAGCAGGACCAGCCCCAACTACATCATCCCAGCCAAGATCAAGGTTTCCCGGTTGAGAATCCTTGCAGGCTGTGAGAACCTTCCCTTGACTGCCATGCAAGTTGCCATAACCCTGCCTACAAGCTATCCAGGATGGTAAACAGCTTAAATCAGCATGTTCCCAGAGGTCACAGAAGAACCTAGTTCTCCAAAGCACATGGCATCATTCTCCAGCTTTGACAAAAGGAATTATGCACATTTAGGAAGACTTCTTGCAAGAGATTCTTGATGCTTTATCAAGCAAAAGACAGACAGCCCACCCAAAATCCCAGCATGCAAAACCTTGTCTCAGAGAAACAGTCTTTAGAGGAGCCTCCTTCCAAGAACTGTGAATCATTAGATTCACCAGCCAGGAATGGGCTTGTAAGCCATGAACAACTGGTGGTGCCACTTCATGACCGCAGCAGCATATGCCTAGCTAAAGGCCAAGTACAAGCTCATCTGATAACATCCTAGAGGGGATGTTGCCACAGATCATTTTGAAAAGTTAACTGCTACCATGTAGCCTCTTTAAATTGAAGATACACACCCAGACTACTGAATCCAGTTTATAAAATTTAGTGGCACCCTGAACTCTCACACAGCAGTATGCAGGAATAATCCTTGCCATCACCTCCAGCTGGCTAAAAAACTATGCTAGTGCAGAAAAGCTTGAGAAGCCATGGTGCAGCAACTAGAACGGGTTATTGTCAGTGTTGTTATATAAATTATTATTATTATTATTAACAACAACAACAACAACACTGAACAATAAACAATGATCATGACAAGTGATGATAATAATAATAATAATAATAATAATAATAATAAATAATAATGGTAGCAATAATAATAGTAGACTCTATGCAAACCTTTTTTTAAAAAGGGCCTGTATTAAGGGCAGACCTTACTATAATCATTTGCTTGTGAAGCTGAATTACTGAACAACTGGATTATCACTGGTTAAGCATCTGGAAACAGAAGTCTGTTGAAATGTCAAGCCATCTTTTGACAGCAGTAGCCAGCTTTCCAAATGAAACATTTCCCACCCATCCCCATTTCAGTGGATTCAGGTAGTTCACCTCAGTGAGCAGTTCTTTCAAAGAAGAGAAACCAATGTAGAAAGCTTGTTTCCTTTGGAGAAAAAAAAACCAAAAACCAAAAAAAAAAACAAAAAACACAGCAACAAAAAAAACCCTACAGGTGTGAAAAGGCTAGAGAGTCCTAAAGGCCTAGGGACACAAAATCGCCAGAAACATGCAGTTCAAATAGCTAACTGCAACCAGCTTTTGCTTTGCACAAGTGCATTTTAAATGCCAAATAAGTCCTCCTCCCCCTTACGTACCAAGAAAGTAAGGCAATTTTACTGAACTAGAATTTTTAAAACTGTTTGGAATGCAATGAAAAGAACCTTCCACCTAAATGCAGCTTGAAACAAGCTAAGAAAATATAAAAGATCAATGTGCTAAGTAAAGTGCATTTGCTACTTTTAAGTTAAAATGTAAAAATTAAGACTAAATGTTAACCTGTACAACTGCTTACCTATAATGAGTTCTAGTCATGAAAAAGCTTCAACTAGAAAGGCAAAAGAAAATGCATATTACCCGTCTGAGTTTAGACAATCAAACTTGGATCATGACTACAACCCATATTTAACCACGTCCAATTTCAGATGATCCGTCCCGAGGGCTGTTGCTGGCACACCACACGCATACTCTGCGCTCTGCACTGGTAACCCCCAGAAAGTCTGAGCTATCAGACTTCCTTCTTAAGGCACTCAGTGGCCTGGGCCTAGCATAGCTGAAAAATCTTGCCTAAAGCCCCAGGACAGAGAGACTGTTTGGCAACTTCATTCATTCAGTAGAAGGGAAACTTTCTTTCTTAGTGGTAGGACTAGTTTCTGCCTCCTCGGGGGCCGACCCATGACCATAATCAAACCGCACAGGAAACAAAGACCATCACGTCTCATTACCACCCCACTTCAACAGCAAGGTGCGCTTCACCCTATTTTTTGCTACCAGAGACATATAGACAAAACAGGAACTACAATTCACATATTCCTTTCCCTTCCAGAAAGAGATGATACAGAACAAATTACATGACAGAGTTAGTCACGTTGCCTAATGCAAGGCTGAGAGTCACTCCGCTGCTATGGTGATAAGGGCGGTTTAGGACTCAGGTAGAAGTACAGTCCTCTACTTTCTATATTGCATGACACAAGAGCACAACAGATCAACTGTAACAAGTCCTTGCAGAACAAGTTAGAGGAGAGGCACCAGGCCACCAAGGGCATCTTTGCTGTAACATGCAAGTAAACCGCCTGGGCTTCCCCCAAAAACCATCTCTGGCCTCCTAAAAGAAAGTGAAGCTTGTTAAGTGCTTTTCTGAAGAGGACTTTATTAGCTTGCCAGTATTATTTTCATGGTCCAGCTACAGCTGTGGGACTTAGCAAGTTCCTGACCTAGACAAAAAACACTCTTGACTCCTATTTTACTGTTCCCAATCAATTCAGAAATACAGGCAGGAAGGGTTATACCCTACATGAGGCAAAGCAGGCTCAGTTACCAACCCCAAACCAGGGCTGCGTCCCAAATAAGAAATCATGGAAGCAAGTCTAAAAATACACAGTTCACACCTATGTGACTAAGCCAACCACATTCATTACAAAGGAGAAAAGGCTTGCACCCAAGTCACCCCTTCTTTCCAAACAAAGAGGCTGGACTCAGTGTGACTCAGATCCATTATTTGCCAAGCTACGGGTTGTTATTTAGCTTTCCCTGAATAGAAGGCTTAAACTTTGACCCAAAGCAGTGGGGAGACCCTGTGGGTGCCAAGAACTGGGTGCAAAGAGTGCCCCAATTCTTCTCCACTTTGCTGAGAAGGAAGCCAGCTAGGTGGCACAAAACGGAACAGCCGGGAACCACTACTACACTGGGGATACAACGTGCAGCAAGCGAGGCACCATCAGAGGCTGCCTGGACACTGCAGACTTTGAAGGGCCGCACTGCATGCTCCAAGAGGCACTTTCTGCTGGAGGCTACCCATCTGCTAGAAACCCATCTTCTTCCTGCATGACCTAGACCACTTGTTTACTTGATCAGCAAGAGGGGAAATGATGGCCATGCAGCTTTCTGGACAGACAGGAACACCAGGAGGGGAACTGAAAGCACTTCTCGACCTCCCCCACCGAAGCCCTGGTGAACCTCTTCCAGACTTGGTGCATCTTTCGTTTGTCCTCCCTCCCATGAGGTGAACAAAGCACCTAACACTTGTGCCTTTACCACCAAGCAGCTAGCCTCGGGGGCAGCCATGGGACTGGAGAACAGCTGGACTGCAGGTCCAGGAAGCCCCCGTACTTCCTAACAGCCATAGGCTGTAGCCTCAGAGATAGCATAGGAAAGGGGACAGGAGGATGCCAGGTGGTCTTTATCAGAGTAGCAGTCCTTTTACAGGGAGCCAGCGCAGGCATGTGGCCTGGGGAGGCTGAGGAGCAATCCCCGCACAAAGCCACAGGAAAGTGGGGTGGCAACTTCCCAGGCAGAGGTCAGACTTTGCAATGAAGACACCTCTCTCCATAGAGAAGGTGGCTCTCCACATCCCAGGGCAGGGGCTGAGATCAGAGGCTTTCTGCTAGCCTCTTTATTTAGCCAAGTTGAACAGGAGAGGATGGAAAAAAAAAAAGATAGTCAAGGTGAAGAAGTCTTGGCCCCTTGAGCCAGGATGCTGAGATCCATGGATGCCTGGGGGGGAAGAGAGCCAGCCCTGCTCCAACACACCCATGGGGAGCTGAAGCCAGCCTGGGGGGGATCCTCAGGGCACCAGGGCATAAGGATACCCCACCACACCATCTCTGGGGATCCAGACCCCCCTTGGGGTCACACACTCCTAGGGTGCAAACGGCTGGCCTAGCCCCACGCAAACCACCCCTTGCATGGGCCAAATCATTATAAAACAGAGAGGACACAGTGGTAAATTGTGCACCCCCACGTAACACCCATAACCCCACACAGCCAACACCTCCCAGGACAGGGTGCAACACCCTTAAATCACCCCCTCCACAGGGGAGAGCCAGGCAGAGGGCCAAGGGGCTGGGGGAGGCAAGAGGCTGGAGGAGGACCCCTGAACCAGGGGGTCCCCAAAAGCAGGGGCAGGAGCTGAGGCCTTGGGGGTGCCCAGAAGCAGGGGGAGGGGGTGGTTACCTTGAAGTATCCTCCCTCGTAGAGGGTGTTGGGGGGCCCGAAGATCGCCACCTCCCAGTTGTACAGGTCGGACTCGTCCACCAGCGTGATGCGGAAGCCCTCGACCGGCTCCTCCTGCAGCGACTTCAGCTCCAGCATCAGCGCCTTCTGCGAGCTGCTCATCTGCTGCTGGGCCATGGCGCGGGGCCCGCCGCGGCCCCGGCCCA